CAGTTGCATATTTTAGTCTTCAAAGGAGTGAAACATCTATTTCTTTGTGTCTTCTTTCCTTCCTTATCTGCTTTTAAACAACAAAAGAAAGATCAAGATTCTGTGTGGAATTATTAGTAACCAATGATAATGAAATCACTGGGAGTTTATGGTACCATAAATCAGTTCTCTAACATATATCCACATGCCTAAAAGAATGTTTGCTCAGTGACAGCAGAAACCATGTCTGGCACATAGTAAGCATTCAAAAAGTATGTGTTAAATGAAAAAATGCATGAAGCCCAGAGAGCAAAGACTATTGATGTGAAGTTCTTGGAAATGCTCTAGAGCATCTATAAACCACCTGAAATTATATACACTACTACATGTGAGTATTAGTATGTATGTGCCCATGTGGATGTTTTTCTTTTTTGGTGGGGGGGTTTAATTGCATGAGATTCTCTTCTGTGTTGATTGTATGTTTTAGAAGTTACGAACCCTTGCTTCACAGCTGCCACTCCATTGCCCTTGTCTGCATAAACACAAAACCTCTGCATTCTTTGTTAATTAATGGTTTCTCAAGTGTTTACTCTTAGACAAGTACTACAGAATCCTTCTCTGGCTTATTTGGGACAGAAATTAGTATTACGTACCACTGTCATATAACCCATCTTGGGAAGCACATGCAAAAATGTTGCCTGGCAGTTTACAAATCACACTGAGTTGGAGAAAAGTATACTTTCCAGAAATCAGGAATAAATATATATCTCTCTCTCGTTCTTTCTTTTTTTTTTTTTTCTTTTTTTTTTTTTTTGAGATGGAGTCTTGCTCTGTCAGCCAGGTTGGAGTACAGTGGCATGATCTCAGCTCATGCTCATTGCAACCTCCGCCTCCCAGGTTCAAGTGATTCTTGTGCCTCAGCCTCCCAAGTAGCTGGGACTACAGGCATGTACCACCACGTCCGGCTAATTTTTGTATTATTAGTAGAGATGGGGTTTCACTATGTTGGTCACGCTGGTCTCAAACTCCTGACCCTAAGTGATCTCCCTGCCTCAGCCTCTCAAAGTGCTGGGATTACAGGTGTGACCCACCACACCCGGCCAGAAATAAAAATCTTAATTTGGAGATAGAACAAAAGAGATGGTCACTTTCATAGTATCTTTATTTCTCCATATCATTCTAAGACATAAAAAAGTGACTCAATTGAAATATAAAAGTCCAAGGTCTATAAATGCACATACCAAAAATTCAAAAGAGACCTACAAAGCTGATGACAAGAGTATTCAGGTGTGACCTCCCCAAACATCTCTGATAAACATAATATTAGTAATGATAATAAAACAGCAATGGTGATACTATAATTTATAGCCGTAACCCTTGACTATAATCAAAGTACTTTTCACATATATGTATCAGGCTGATACAATGACTGCCATTTCATAGACTGTGACATGAAGGCTCAGAGAAGTTCAAGTCTTGTCCACGCCACACAGTTATTGAATAGGGAGGCTGAGGTATAGCCACACATCACCCACTTCTAAATGCTGTGTTTTGTTCGACATTTTACCTTAGATCACAGAATAAATGTTAGGCCTTAGTCCTTCCCAGTTTATGGATATGTTGTTAATTATTCACTGAAATCCAGAAAAATCAAGGTGCTAGAGAACTCCAATTCATTATTTTCTCTACTGCTGTGGAATTCATGTGTTGGTGGATAGGGTTAGTTGGTATGAAGGAAACATCAAGGGCAGTAGCAAAATAAGAAACTTGGCCTTAGAGTTCTTTGAAGCTATTTTAAAAAGTAAAATGTTATGTTAAGAGCTATGTGGTGTATCTCTCTGTGTATATAATTATTATTCTATTGATTTATTGCACACATGTCAGAGTGTCTGGGCATTTGTACAAGTTCAAACAAACCAACCAAAGAGCCAAGCCACATAGCCGCAAACCAAGACAACTTGCCTCCTACCCCTCACCCCACCCTTCATCCTACCAACTCCCAAATGCAAATTCCCTGGTAGCAAAACCTTCCTTACAGAGATGAACCGTTAAACCATGATATCTGTCATTTATACTATGCTAAAAGAGCAGCCGAAGCCAGGTGATGGCACAGATATAGCAGGACTCTTCCCACTCTAAAGAGAGCCAGCCCCCTTCTGTTTTGGTGAGAGCTTTCAGCAATGACTCAGGAATCAAATTGCAGGGAGCTATCATATGTAACCTCCTTTGAGGATGAGCATCATAGCATCATATCTTTTTTTTTTTTTTTAACCTTTTATTTTCGGTTCACGGGTACATGTGCAGGTTTGTTATATGGGTAAATTGTGTTTTACAGGTTTGGTGTGCAGATTATTTCACAGGAATTTAAACTTAGATATTTCATTGTAGGGCATAAGGAAATACAACATATCTCATCTTCTGAGTACTCACCCACTAACGCACCACACAGTAGGCAGAAAGACTCTTATTTACCTCTGCTATCCCAAAGAGTGGGGAAATCACTTCAAAGTATTCTACCCTGCTGCCAAAAAATCTTCTGCTCATAATCCAACAATGAGAGCAATTTCAACCTAAATTGCTCCCCCTAAGAGACAGACGTATTAGGTAAGTTTCTCCTCTGTTTCCATATACAAAGAGATCTTATAAGAAAAAAAAAAAGGCAAAAGAAAATTCCTCAGCCATTACCAGCTGATAAAATCAGTAATCTCATACTCCCAACTTCAAAGCAGAAGACTTAGAAAATCATCTCACTTTCTCTGCACATGGAGAATAATTTTTTTCTACTTCAAAGCACCATCTCTTTATTTGGTCATTTTAATTATTGAATGTGGGACAGAAGCTATCCACATAATGTCACCACTGTCTTTTTCATGAAATATGTATAGGTCTAATTTGGAATACATTAATTTGAGAGAAGTTAAAATACAGCGAGGGAAATGAGAAAGGAAAGAGGCCAAGGAATAAAGCCTCCATCAGTATAAGATAGTGAGAGGAAAAGCCTTTCTAACCTGGCTCCTCATTCATTTACTCTGGAGAGGAACCATCAAGAAACCTGATAGCTGGTTTGGGCAAACAGACTGCCTTGCTTCTCAAATTTTCTCCTACCCAACAACACACAGCAACACAATTACACTAATTTTATCAGTAATGCTGGTATTATTGACAAAACATGGGTACAAGCAGTTGCTTTTTGAATAATACAGTGAAGAAAAATAGTGCTCTAGAACAGCTGTCAGCAAACTATCTTTCTCCATTTAGGGTACCACAGCCAGACAGAAGACTAGTTGGGCATTCCAATGCCCACTCAATCCTCTTCCCACAAAATCACAATGCCAGAAATTGGCAAACTTTCTGCAAAAAGCCAGACAGTAAATATTTTCAGCTTTGTGGGCCATACAATATCTATTGCAACTACTCAACTCTGCTGTTGTAGCACAAAAACAGCCAAAGACAACATGTAGATGAATGGGTATGGCTGTGTTCCAATAATACTTTACTTACAAAAGCAGGCACAGGGCCAGATCTGGCCCACAAGCCATAGTTTTGGTTGACCCCCATTTGAGACAAGTACTAGATGGCAGAAATGTTCTCTAGCTGTGCTGTCTAATACAGTAGCCACTAGCCACATGTAACTGTTGTACTTGATATGCGGCTAATGTGACTACAGAACTACATTTTAAATTTCACTAGATTTTAATTAATTTTAGTTTAAATAGCCACAAGTGGCTACCATCTTAACACAACTCTAGATACTATTCACTGCTGCCTCCACAAAGGAGATAGAAGCCAACTTCCAATTTATAGCATAGATTATATGTTTGCCTTAAAAAATAAAATACCCATACCTCTGCATTCACAGTGGAACTATACACAACTGAAAATGGTATTTCTTAAATGTGAAATATCTACATCACTGAGGCCAAGGTGATTGTTTTGAATTGAAGTAATGAGGTAGCTGCCTATCAGTCAATGATCAAAAGCATAGGGGCTGAGTCAGGTTCATGCTAAGACCTATCCAATCCAGAAAGTATTTTCTTCCTCCTCTAGATACTGTCCTGCACCTTGACTGAGAGCACAGACCTACTCAACAGTCCCATTAACTCCTAAGGCCAATCCAAACCTCCCCACAGATGCTAAAATACATACATGCAAAGACACAGCTTAAAGAGCCCAAGAGAGAGCATGCATGTTGATTAGCATGCCTTCTAAAGTAATGCACACAGCACAGCACCTCAACACAAAATCAAGATTCACCACATTTGTCCCTATTGCCTGCTGCATCTGATAACTATTTTATTCACACAATAACTAGCTTGTGTTTTGCATTTCTTAGCAGACCCAAAGATGTAATCCAAGGAGGAAAAAGCAAGGAAATAGGATAGTAATATATTTTTGTTGTTCTTCTAAACATGAATAAGAGATAACAAACCAATATTTCCTTTGAGAAACTCACACAATATCGACTTTCTTCAATGGGTAAAAGAAATTGAAAGATACTCTTTAGTAAATAAGAACCCTTTGGAAACATGGGTGCCAGAAGGGGAACCCATACAGATGGTACACAGCAAAGCAAGACAGATGACATTCCAGTTATTTTATGATTTTTGATAAAATGGAATCATTCTAGATCCAAGCCCTTAACTGTAGTTACCAAATCTAAAATGCTCCGAAGTATGAAAAAAAGAAATTTCAAGTGTGAACCAAACACCTTTGGTGGCACAACTTGACGCAAACTGACAAGAGTCTAATTATACAGTCTTTATCCTACTTAGTGTAAGACTTTTTTTTAATGCAAAAATATTCATATGTTTGCTTATGGGGTGTTGCTACAAGTTCACTTGCAGTGTTATACAATCTATACAATGCATCTCGTCTTTCTGAAAGCCCAACAAATATGAATTTCAAAATACATCTGGCCCCAAGGGTTTGGATAAAGGGTCTCCTGAGGCAAGTTGGTCAGGTAGGGCATTTTCTATCAATTCCATGTCTCTGCTGTCTAGAATCCTGAGACAGTGCCTTACCTCAGTCTGAAGGATGGCAGCCCTCTGTTCTTTGGCAGTAAGCGACTCTTTGAGCACTTCAATGTGTTGCTTGCAATCTGAATTTTGATTGCTAAGGGTTTCAAGCTTTGTTTGTAAGGCAAGAAGTTCTGACTCTTTCTTTGAAAGTTCCTGCTTCAGCTGATCAATCTGCAAAACAACAACAAAATTGCAAGAAATTAGAAATTGCTGCCCCTACCCTTTACATTGGACAACTACTGATTTCTTTCCATTTCAGCAGCCAGTGATCAATAATTCAACAAGGCAGGCCATGAATTTGCTTAAAAAAGATGGCCTTAGGAATCACACAGTCTTTGGGTTCTGGAGGAATATCTGTAAAGGTCACTGAGAGTATAGGAAATAGGAATGGAAAGGTCAGCAGACTGCCCTCCATCCCACTGTGGACCAAATTTCACAAGGGAATGAAGCCTTCCCAGTCAAACCTACTCATCTATGAAACCACCAAGTCTATTACCACCATGGTCCTGAGGAGAGTCAACAGGTATCTAACATGAGTAATTAAACCAAGGCATAACTCCATAGTGCAAATAATCATTCAAGGGCAAGATTTGGCAAAAGAATCCTAAAAAACAAGTAAGCATTGGGGATCTTCTTTTTGCTTACATTAAATATTGAGAAGATACAAAAGAACATAAAATATACATAAGGTATAAGGAAAAATGACCAAAAATAAAATCCATCATTCAATTCACCAAAAAAGATCACTAGAATTACCCATGTCCCATCCCATTTCTATCTCCTCTCCCCATTTGGAAATAATTACCACCCCAAATTTTGTGTTTATTATTTCTTTGCTTATCTTTTAGGCTGATCATATATTTTTGCATCCATAAATATATACTATTTGGTTTTGCATGTTTTAAAACTTTATTTGGGCTACAATTTTTTTTTTCCACTTCGCTTTTTTTCCTACTCAATCTTATGTCCTGGAGATTAAATCACAACATTGTACATACAGTTCATTCATTTTCACCGAAGTAGAGTATTCCATTGTAAGACTTCACCACAATTTATTTGCCCACTCTGCTGTTGATAGAAATTTGGGTTTGTTCTTAGCTTTTTGCTACTATAAACAATGCTATTCTGAACATTCTTATACATATAACCTAGTTTACATAGCAATAATATTCTCAAATGCCTAAGATTTAAATTGCTGAACCACATAGCATATTCATCTTCAATTTCACTAGATAAAACAAAAATGTATGGCTCACACCTGTAATCCCAGCACTTTGGGAGGCCAAGGCGGGCAGATCACAAGGTCAGGAGTTTGAGACCAGCCTGACCAATATGGTGAAACCCCATCTCCATTAAAAATACAAAAATTAGCTGGGCATGGTGGCGGGCACCTGTATTCCCAGCTACTTGGGAGGCTGAGGCAGTAGAATCACTTGAACCCAAGAGGCAGAAGTTGCAGTGAGCCGAGATCGTGCCACCACACTCCAGCCTGGGTGATAGGGGGAACGAAAAAACAAAAACAAAAAAAATTTTTCCAAAACAGTTCTATTAATTTACATGATCACAAGCACCTTGCAAGTATGCCAATCACTCCATCTCTTTACCAATAACTTATGTCACGGGTCTTTTACACTTTTGCCAATTTGATATGTGATGTGCAGGTAGAGGATCTGCAGAGACTTTCTACCAATTCCTTCATTCCTTCCTACTTGTACACAAATGTTGCTCCTCACAACTAGAGCTGAAGTTTGCTTACCCTCTTCTTGAACCTGGGCTGGACTGTGACTTCCTTCTGCCAACCAAATGCAGCAAAATAATCAGTACACCTGTTCTAGCCCTAGCCTACAGGGGGTCTGGCATCTTCTGCTTCTACCCACTGGAAGCCAGCCACCATGGTCTGGAAGCTCAACCACCCTGTCACCACCATGGTGTGAGGAAGACCACACCAGACATACGGACAGGTCATGCAGAAAGACAGAGGTCTGTTGGTCATGGCAGCCCCTTTGTCTTGTTTCAGGCTTCAAAGGAAAGAATATCAACGTTTCGTCATTACATTTTGTGTCTGCATTGGTTTTTTATAGACATTTTATTAGGCTTCGCATTATTACAACTATGCCAAAAGTATTCTTTAATCATCAGTGAAAGTTTAACATCACCAAACTTTTTTTCTGTATCTTATGGTTTATCACCATTTTTCAACTTTCATATGTTATTGTAATGAATCGCATTAATGAAATTTTTAACCTTAATCTCCCCTGGCATTACTATGAAAAACTCTACTCAGTCATTATATATTTTTCATATGCTACTGTATTCAGCTTACTAATATTTTGTAAGGATCTTTTATTTCTGTTTATGACTGAGATTGGTTTATAATTTTCCTATCCTACGCTGTCCTTATCAGGTTTTAATACCAATATAGCCCTCCAAATGAAGTAGGAAGTGTTCCTTCTTTTAATGTGTTTGGAAATGGTTTCTGTGAAATTGGAGTTTTTTTTACACTAATGTTCATTAGAAATCACCAGCAAAACCATTCATAGCTGCTATTTTCTTTTTCCAAAGAACATTACTTACTAATCCACTTTTAATGGCTATAGGAATATTCATGTTTCTAATTAGTTGAGTCAGTGTTGATACATTTTTTTCCCCAAAGAAGTTTTTGTTTCATCTAAATTTTCACACTTATTTGCAGGAAATGTTTATAAAACCCACTTATCTTTGTATCAATAGTATTTATGATTATGTCTTCCTTTTCATTTCTAATATTCTACGTTATTAACCTCTCTTTTTTTAAGTTTTATTTTAGCTTTAACCACTCTTTTTCCTGATGAATCTCAGTAGACACATGTCAAGTAAAGTATTCTAATCAAGGAACCAATTTTGGCTATATTGACTCTGCAATTACACTTTTATTTTCTGTTTCATTCATGTCTGCTGCTTTTAAATGTTTCCTTCCTTCTACTGTCTTTGGGCTTATTCTATTTTCCTAACTTTTTAAGTTGGATGCTTATCATACTAATTTTCAGCCTTGTTTCATTCCTAAGATAATCCTTCAGACTATAAGGCTTGATTTGGTTATCTTTAAGTTTGCTTGGTTTCTTATAGTCTCTTGCTCTTTATTTATATTTTCAATCTCTTATTTATTTAAACGTATTAAACACACATTAATATTTCATAGTCTTTTTCTTATAATTCCAACTTTTGAAGTATTTGCTTTCTGATTCTGCTGTTTATTCTTTCTACTGACTATCACTTATAGTGGCCTGTTTTCCTGAAGATTTTGTGATTTTTCTCCTTTTTTTGGTAATTTGGAACCTTATCTGGAAAAATACTTTAAGGCCTATTTGGTCCTTTAGAGAATTTGCCTCTGCCAATACCTGAGGACACTACCAACCAAGAATGTAGCTGCTTTAAGCTACATTCTCTACCTGAAGTTTTTAGATCATCTTGCACAGCACACCCATGCAAGAGCCAGCTGTGGTTATGGATTCTGAGAACAAATTTTTTCATCTTTTACTTGGCTTAAAGTTTTAAAACAGAAAATTTTCCCTGGAGTCCCCTAATCTAAGTGTGAGGAGGGGGAATATGGTAAGGTTATTTTTAGTTTGCCTCTGCACTAGCAGTATAGTCATCTGAGATCCCAGCTTCATGTGGTGGTGGTAATAAGGTTTCTACTATCCCTCATCTTGAGTAGGCCCAGACTTCTGTCTCTTTTCTTCAATGTCCTTGTGGCTATGAAAACCAGAGCCCAAGTTCATCTATCTGAAAATTGCCAACAAGGATAAATAACCTGATATGGTTTGGCTGTGTCCCCACCCAAATCTCATCTTGAATTGTAGCTCCCATAATTCCCACATGTCCTGGGAGGTACCCAGCAGGAGGTAATTGAATCATGGGGGTGGGGTCAGTCTTTCCCATGCTGTTCTCATGACGGTGAATAAGTCTCATGAGATCTGATGGTTTTATAAAGGGCAGTTCCCCTGCATACGCTCTCTTGCCTGCTGCCATGTAAGACATGACTTTGCTCTTCATTCGCCTTCTGCCATGATTGTGAGGCCTCCCCAGCCATGTGGAACTGTGAGTTCATTAAACCTCTTTCCTTTATAAATTAGCCAGTCTTGGGTATATATGTCTTTATTAGAAGCATGAGAACAGACTAATACATAACCCATGCTCTACTTATCACACAAGCTTCCTGCTATGGCTTAGCTTTGACCCTTGAGGTTCTTTCTTACTCAAGAGCTCATAAGTACATTTTAAAATATACGTTTAAAAATATACTTCATTCAACATTTTTTGTTGTTTTCAGCAAGAAAACTGACATAAACAATAACAAGCTACTGACAATATCAGCTGAGCATGAACAGGAGTGAGACTTCCATGTTCAGAAGGGTTCAACTTAGTAGAAAGGTTGATATGAATGGAAATCCCATTTGCAAGAAGTCAGACTATGTCAGGGAACAAACAAGCTTCATCCTGCTAGCCAAATCTAAAGGATTGGTAGTGGCTAAACAAAAAGCAGTCTTGAGAAGGATCCTAAGTATGCTTAAATATTCACTGGGAAAGAATCATGACTGTTTATCAATGTGCCCCAGGTATATGTGAGCAAGTGAGCACTGCTCAGATAGGTGCAGTATCTGAAATACATTATTTTTCTATAATTTAATGAATCATGAGTGTGTGGTCATTTTTATGTGGAACAAAAGTAAGAAGTTCTCTCTCATACATAACAAGAATATAGTATAAATAAAAACAGGGAAAATCAGAATTAGGATTACCTAAAATGATAAAAGATATTAAAATCTGTTATGATCAGCACTCTTCTCAGGGGGGTATGGCCCCAAATCATGTCCAGTTGTAGCTGACAGCACAGTTTATAGTCGATTCCATATATGAAACTGATTCATTTGAAATTAACGCTCAAAAACTTTCAACTCGATACACCTAAGCAAAGATGATGTTTATAGTGAAAAAACTGATTTGTGCTAACTTCCACAAATCCCACAGTAGAAAGCTAGTGTGGGGGTTGGGGTATTGAGAGGGAAATGAAAAGGAAATCAACTGGATATAGAGAATGGGGTTTAGTCAGGAAGAAGGGCATGGCAGGTTCTACATATACCTCCTTTAGTCAATAAAAATAGATGGATAGTGATGAAACTATTTAAGTCTATAAATATTAAATAGGCAGTGGCTCTAAATAGCTTTCAGATATTGCTGCCATCAGGTAAATTTTAAATAAATATTTATGCAGACAATAACAGAAAAAACCTTTTCTAAAGGGAACATAGTCACAAGGTAAAAAAAAAAAATCATATTCTCCCATAAAAATATGCCTTTTGCTTCTTTTACAGCCATAAATTCCATAAAAATGGAAAGTGATGCAATCAAACATACATGAGAACTGAGGCCAAGAAAGGTCTGTCTCTGTGATGGCCAGAAAAAAAGCCAATCGGAATTACATCACATGTTTTATATGAAGTCCATGTGGACATCAGGCACACTTCATCCTGTCTGAAAATTCTTCCCCCACTTACGTCTGTGACACAAACTACACCCTGAAAAAAAACACTCTGCCAAGGAAAACAGCTTCTTTTTCACTGCAGATATGGCCCTCATGTCTAGAAAGTGATATGCTTACTATCATGCAGTTTGGGTTAGGAGGTTTGTAATCTACCAGAAGTTTATAAGAAAATGTGTTACAAATTCAGAATAAAGGAGGAGATCTAACACAGCAGATCGGCATCTCTGGCAAACACTGGAAACAGAGGGAGTAGCTAATATAGAAATACTGGAATGAATAGATGAAAAATGTGTTAGACTAGGAACGAAGCCTTGTACAGAAAGGAAATGCCATTATTCTTTCCCTACCAGAAAAACAATTATGTATTTGGTATGCTCCATTCTCCGAGGCTTAATGGAACTCCTGAAAGTAATTCATGCTTTCCACGGCCTCTGAGATTCAGCTCTCACAGTTTGATTCCTCTAACCCTTCAGTGTTGGGGTAGGAACTGGAGTTTCCAACAGATGAGAGTTACACATCCGAGATCTCCCAGAGGCTCCGTTCTCAGAGACAATGTTCATGCCAAAGGACTTGCAAGATGCCAGGATTTCTACCCTGGCTGACGATGTTTTGTATTCCTGCCTTTGTACAAGTTGAGTTTTGCAACCCACCTTCTACCTTTCCAAAAATGTTATATCATGTTTTTTCTATGATGTCATATTTGTAAAAGCAATTCAGGCATTCACTGATACTTAATTTAATCACAGAGCTTTCAAGAAACCCTACCAGTTCCAACTACCTGCTCTGGATCAAGATGGAATTGCACACTCTTCCACGTGCCTATTTAAAATACTTTCTTTGCCTCCAATCCACATGATTTATTCATTTTAATAAGTAATGCAAGCAGTATTCCCAGGCTTAAATGAGGAATTACACTCATCACTCAAAGTAGGAGAATTGGGCTGGGTGTGGTGGCTCACACCTGTAATCCCAGCACTTTGAGAGGCTGAGGCAGGCAGATCACTTGAGATCAGGAGTTTGAGACCAGCCTGACCAACATGGTGAAACCCCATCTCTACCAAAAAAACACAAAAAATAGCTGGTGTAGTTGTGCGCACCTATAATCCCAGCTACTCAGGAGGCTGGGGTGAAAGAATTGCTTGAACCTGGCAGGCGGAGGCTCCAGTGAGCCAAGATCATACCACTGCACCCCAGCCTGGGTGACAGAGTGAGACCCTGTCTCAAAACAAACAAACAAACAAAAAAACCAAGTAGGGGAATTAAGAAAAGTAAGTAATTAATGATAGGAAACATTAGCAATAAATGTTATAGTTCAATCCAATAAGAACATTCTTTCAATGGAGAAAATATTAAAAACTGACCCTTACTAGTACTTTCTAGCTAATTTTTAACAGTAAAAGAGGTATCCGCATGATGTAAGAATTCATTTTATTTGTATTTCTTAGAAATCCATTTTTCCCATTAGTCAAGTTAAATATAACACTTATTGTAATGATTATTATTTGGTTATACTTCTTCAATAATAATATTTATCATTATTAGCTGGTTTTTTGAGCCAGGTACTTTAACTACACTATTTCTTTTTAAATATTATTTAGTCCATCTGAACCATCCTGTAAGGCTGGTGCTGTCGCCCCTATTTTATAGAAGACAGTGTGGTCAAGTGACTTTGGTCACTCCTCAAGTCACTCCCTATGCACAGCTGGCAAAGGTAGGCTGGAGACTTGCTGGAGTCTGCTTTCATCTTCAGCCTGTGGTCTTTCCACCTCACTCCACTACTTCCCTGAAACATTCTTCTGACCTGACCACTTCTGGAACCATTAAAAGAAACTAGCCATTAAAAGTTAAATCTAACTCAAGGATTGATGGTCTCTCAGACAAATGTGGGCTAATAAAGGTCATGACTTGCTGAAGATCATATAAATGTTTTATTCACCTGGACAGAGTCCATGATGAGGGGCAGAGTTTACAAATTTCATGACATTTTCAGCTGTAGAAGTGGCTTGAACAATCTCCCATTGTGGAATAACAGAGTCGGGGGAAAAGTTTAAGCCAAAACAATAATTTCCCCCAAACTTCTTGAGTTCGCTCGTATCTGTGCCTCTGGTCTTCATTCCCAGAATTATTCAGGCACTGTATGCAGGTCACCCTAGTACTGTGCTCACCAAACGTCGGCTTAACTCTCTGAGAGGGAGGGACTGCAAGGAAGAAACCAGAGGAAGGACTGAGCAGGGAAACCTATTCGAAACTTTGAGGCAGTCCCTGGTTACATTCAAATTCACTGGACAGTCCCCTCATCTCCACTCCTTGATCCACGTTTTCAGCACAATCTCAACATCTAGTTAGAGATGGAAAGTTGACAGAAGAATAGTTTTGTGTTTTTTCCTTGTGTATACATGCATGCATACACACACACACGTTGTGATGAAGTAAATGCTAGATAGATATCATTTTCTCCCTATAATTTGCAAACTCAGCAAGGAGTATGCACATATTTCACAACTGATAAAAATCATTTAAACATTTTTCTCTCCTCTCCCACTGCTTTCTCACAGAGGTCTGCACTACTCCAACTCTACTGCATTTCAGAAAGTAACAAACAAGATTAAAACCTAGAACAAGAGAACAGGCATATTTAAGAGCAAGTGGTAGAAAAAGAAAAAAGAACAAAAAATTTTTAATTGGTGTAGTTATTATTTTCAGAAGCAAAATGATTTAAACAGAGGAATAGATAAAAGCATCTCACAGTCTCAAAAGACCTATTTGGGCTATTCATAAATTTAATAATTACGCATATGTAAAAATAATAAATATTCAGGTGCTTGGTCCTTTTAAAGCCCCAAGTTTATTTTTGAAAAAATACAATCCAAAGGCCGGGCGCGGTGGCTCACGCCTGTAATCCCAGCACTTTGGGAGGCCGAGGCGGGCGGATCACAAGGTCAGGAGATCGAGACCATGGTGAAACCCCGTCTCTACTAAAAAATAGAAAAAAATTAGCCGGGCGCAGTGGCGGGTGCCTGTAGTCCCAGCTACTCGGGAGGCTGAGGTAGGAGAATGGCGTGAACCCGGGAGGCAGAGCTTGCAGTGAGCCGAGATTGCGCCACTGCACTCCAGCCTGGGCGACAGAGCGAGACTCCGTCAAAAAAAAAAAAAAAAAAAAAAAAAATACAATCCAAAATCTTTAAAACTGACAATAACAATATAAACTAATGGAGCAGGTTACTCTAAAATATTTTACAAAGATTCCATAGCAATAGATATGGAATCTATTAGTCCATATTAATGTTACTATTATAACATTATTAGTAACATTAATACTACTATCAACAATAATGCCTGACATTTGATGGATACTTTCTAGAGATCAGACAAGGGACTAAGGGCTTTAAATGAATAATCTCCTGGAATCATCAGACCAACCCAATGATGTAGGTATTTTTCTTATCCCTATTTCATGGATAAAGAAACTGAGGCTTAGGGAATTTTAATAATTTAACTAAAGGGCAGCACTGGGACTCAAAACTATTTATGTCTTAAACACTACGCTAAAACCACAATAGCTTAATAACTTTTTTTTTTCTGTTGAGATGTAGTCTTGTTCTGTCACCCAGGCTGGAGTGCAGTGGTACCATCTCAGCTCACTGCAACCTCTACCTCCCGGGTTCAAGTGATTCTCCTGCCTCAGCCTCCCGAGTAGCTGGGATTACAGGTGCATGCCACCATGCCTGGCTAATTTTTGTATTTTTTTGTAGAGACAGGGTTTCACCACGTTAGACAGGCTGGTCTCGAACTCCTGACCTCAGCTGATCTGCCTGCCTCAGCCTCCCAACCTAATAACATTTAAATGAGTTAAATTGGCTTGTAATAGCAAATATTTTGAGACAAACACCTTCTAGGAGAGGCAAGAAATTTGGCAACGATAGCGACTTCAAAAAAATAGCAAACTTAAGTGATGGTGGAAATTTGGAAGACAGTGGACTATAAATATGTTAATTCTCAAGGAAGAGGAACACCAAAGGAACTCCTAATTAAAGCTTGAACCTCTCAGTAAGGAGAAATTCCACCAAAGGTTTTCCGTGATTGCTTTTTGGAATCTATATGTCTGAACTAAAAATCTTCTGCATTCTCCTTTGTTGTCCATATATTAAATAATATCACATAAAGCATATTATATGGGTATTTGGAAAAAGTACATATGTAAACTGTAACTTTCTAGTCACATTAAGAACATAAAAGTTTATAACCCTGGACCGTACCTTGGTCTTCATAAACTTGGAGTGACTTTTGTAAACCTCAATTTGTTTGATCTCTTCTTCGCGGTCCTCAGTGTTCAGCACACCATTGGCTTTTAACATCTGGATCTCATCCTCAAGATCCCTTATGTTTCGCTCCAATGAAGCGATTTTTGTGTCCTGTTGGTAAAGAAGAAAAGAAAAATAAAAATAAAGAATACAAATTATTTTTAAGATCATCAAAACAGAATTTAAGAAAGTAATTTTGGTAGTGCTGTTACATATTAACCATGGTGTAGACAGCCCCAAATTCAGAACAATTTATTTTTTTCACAGCTGAGGATCATTTGTGAGATGACAGTTTAAGCTCCCAATCAAGACCATGTTTCAATACAATACAGGGAATTACCTAGATATGTTTGTCTAATATCTGGGAATCAAATTACAAAAGCAACAGTGATAAAAGTAATCTAAGTGTTAAAAAACAAAACAGAACACCATTTAAGTGGACAGATTTTAATTTGGGATATAGTTTTACCACTGTATATTTTTGAATCCACTTATAAACACAAAAACAGTTTATGTGTATATTTTATGGCTGGTTTTATAAGGCATGTTTGGAATTTGACTCTGAGAGAGAAAGAAATTCAAATCTACTAATGGGAAAAAGGATTCTCATCTAAAATACAGACGTAAGTGAAACTAAATAACTGGATCTTGACTTGGTATGACTGATACACTAAATATTGAAAATTTATAGTGATTGGAAATAGTACATCATAATGTCATAATTTATTTGGCGAGCAGTCAGGTCCCTACGTGACAAAAAACATGACTACCTTGCAGGGCACTTCAACCTATTGATTTATGGAGCCAACAACTAGAAATATTACACTCAGATGTGGAATTAATTGGGAAAAAGTTACCAATGACAGACTCCATACACAAGATAGAGTACTAGAAACAATGCATTAGAAAGTAGAGAAGAGAGAGCTCTTACAGAGGAACCAAAACAAAAAAAAAAATGACAAAAAAATTTTCCATAACCGTAAGTATTAGGCTTCAGTCAGTCTTTGGAATGAAAGTTTGACACATCAAAAACCGACTTCAAGTTTTCTCAGTGTCACATCTGCATGCCATTTTATTGCACAGAGTTAAGGAGTTCATATTAATTTGTAACTGAATGCTAATTCAGAACAATCTACCAACTTTTTTAACCAATTCATTTTCTCAGAATCAAAAAGACTAAGAATTCCAAAAGTAAAAACAATGAATAGGCTATTCTATTTATAAGTAACTCATTTTTAAAAACCTCGCAACAAATGTGTCTGTCCTGACTTTGTGGCTATTGTCTACTTTATTTTCCTATAATATACGCCCAATGGTATATCTCCTATGGCAATATAGTAATTATCATTGTTGTTATCATTAACATTGTCATCATGTTAAAAGGAGGAAAAGGAGGACCAGCAAATTTATGCAACTCTATTATGTGCCAAGAACTGAGTGCTCTATGTTCCACAGACACTTTTATTAATTCTCAGAAAAACTACAAGAAGATGAAATAAAAAGATTTTGAAAATTCCAAGATTATTAGGAAATGGAACATTCTGTAGTACTTCATTTTCTTTTAAAAATAATACCTATTGTATTTTTTCTGTTATAAAAGCAATATACTCTGAATTCACAGAAAATGGAGAAAACCTCTAATCCTACTGTCTAGAAATAACTACCATTAATGCTTTCTTGTATATTCTGCCAGTATTTTTCTATTTAGATGCCATTTCTGGAAATCTTCTATACTACCAGTTTAAATTTTAAAAAGTGTTATGGACTGAATGTTGAGTCCCCCAAAAATATATATGTTGAAGCTCTAACCTTCAATGTAATGGTATTTGGAGATGGCGCCTTTGGTGGGTAATTAGGATTAGATGAGGCTAGGAGAGTAGGGCCCTAATGATGGGATTAGAACCCTTATAAGAAGAGACACCAGGAAGCTGCTCACTCTCCCTCTACCAAGAAAGAACATGGGGAGAAGGCAGCTATCTACAAGCCAGGAAGAGAGCTCTCACCAGAGCTTTATCATGCTGGCACCCTAATCTCGGCATTCTAACCTCCAAAACTGTGAGAAAAACAAATCTCCATTATTGAAGCCACCCAGTCTATAGTACTGTGCTAAGACAGTCAAGCTTACAAACATGGGGAGTGATACTTAGCGACTTACTTAAGTCCTGAGCTGTAAGAACTCCATAGATAAAAAGAAAAGCGGCCTGGTGCAATGGCTCACGACTGTAATCCCAGCACTTTGGCAGGCTGAGGCGAGTGGATCACCTGAGGTAGGGAGTTCAAGACCAACCTGACCAACCAACATGGAGAAACCCTATCTCTACTAAAAATACAAAATTAGCCGGGCATGGTTGTGCATGGCTGTAATCTCAGCCACAAGGCTGAGGCAGAAGAATCACTTGAACCCAGGAGGCGGAGGTTGAGGTGAACCGAGGTCGTGCCATTGCACTCCAGCCTGGGCAATAAGAGCGAAACTCTGTCTCAAAAAAAAAAAAGAAAGAAAGAAAAGAAAGGCAATAATGGAAGTGCTATGGAAAAAGAACTTCTAGAAGTTCAAAAGAGACTTTCCAAATAACTAAGAGTCATTTTGAATCAACATGTTTCAGGCTATAAAATCAAAACTCATTAAACAACAATTGAAAAGCTATATAGATAATTACGATTATTCATAATCCCACCACTCATATATACCCACTATTAACATTTGTGTTCATTCCCATGGAAGCCTTAAGATTATATTTTCACCTTAAAACATACAAAAAGTTATTTCAATTAAAACTCTAATCAATATGATATAGATTTTTTTCTCTCTATTGATATACAAATTGGTTGTTGATGAGATTTACAAATACCCAAGTGCAATATTTAAGCATTTACAAATAGCTAAGTACAATCTTTAGAAGAACTGAACTGTAAAGTAAGTGTGAGGGTAAGGGCTAATATCCCAGTTCTTCCTATATAAAATTTCGATGGATTTTCAACTCAAATCTAAGTGACCATAAAATGTGTATGTATGTATACATATATATACCTATATAAATATATGTGTAGGTGGGTATGTGTGTGTGGCACAATACACTTTGACATCTTCACATCTTAGACCTGAATTTTTTCATAACACTTGGTGGAATTCCAACGCCCAATCATGGAGGCAAGAGGAGACGACTCTGCTTCCTCGCAAGCCTCAGTTTTCTGAGTTTTACTGAGAAAGTAAACTCCTGAGGCTTTAGTGAGCATGGACTACAACTGACAATTTCTAAATGGCTTAGATGCAACTTTTCACTGGACTCAAGAATTACATACTACTAAAGAAAAATCAGAACTGGATTGAGATAGAAAGTTTCTTAACATAGCAAAGCTTCTTGACATCTTAAGTTAAAATTTCACCAAACATATTTTGAAATTATTTTTACTTTTACTAGTTTTCTCAAATTAAGCAACATCCTTCTTTTTTCTCACAAACGTCTTTGTTCCCTGGCTCTGTTGCCCAAGCTGGAGTGCAGTGGTGTGATCTCGGCTCACTGCAACCTCCACCTCCCAGGTTCAAGCAATTTTCATGCCTCAGTCTCCCAAGTAGCTGGGATTACCAGCCTGTGCCACCACGTAAAACGAATTTTTGTATTTTTAGTAGTGACGGGGTTTCACCATGCAGGCTAGTCTCGAACTCCTGACCTCAAGTGATCCACCCACTTCAGCCTCCCAAAGTGCTGGGATTACAAGTGTGAACAACTGTGCCCAGCCTATATTTCTGTTCTTATGTAGAAAGTCAATTTCAAGGGCAACAGAGCTCATACCTCACATCATGAGCACAGAGAAAAGTAGGTAGGAGAATATCATTAGGATTTAAAGGAAAACTGATACAAAAAATACAGCTGTATCAGACAGTTTTGGGTTGTGCCCAAGAAGATATTCAAAATGCCAAACCAGAGAAGGACTGAGGTAATGTAAACATGAAAATAAAAAGCAAACATAATGGCTGGCATGTCTACTACTTTTCAACTGTGTCAGTCCAAAGAATTTAGAGGGAAGGAATTTTATCATTTTCTTTTTTAAAAATCGCTAACACTAAGATAAATGACTAAAACCTTATATATGTAAGGAGGACTATGGAAGTCCATATCAAGTCCTGATATGGTTGAATGTGATATATGGATATTGAGATACTAAATGCACATGGCTCAGAAAGTCAACGCACTAATCTGGAATAGAGAAAAAAATACATAAATGAAGACATATGTTGTAACTTCCTGAAAAGTGGAGTTTCAGAAGGTAAAGCAACATTTTACGCCCTAATCGCCAAAGAGTTTTCTTCATCTGAACCTTTTTACAAGTTATTTATGGCTGATATTTTAAAACAATATATGGAATGATTTTCAAACACACATCTTGATTATATTTCACAAACAAACAAGCTCTAGAGGCAGATAATTGTGGGCCTTCCTTAGAGATGGGGAAAGTGAAATATAACATAGGGTAGCTTTTCTCAAAGTTCACAGAACCCAAATGTTCCATGAAAAGGGGGGTTGCAGGGTCAAGTATGTTTGAGAAATGCTTATTAGGAATTTTCAATGCACATTAACATGAATGGCTCTGGAAAGTCCTGAAGCAAAATAATCTATTTCATTTTGTTTATCAACAGTATTACTGCCTCTAGAAGTCAATTCCTGAAAAAATTTAGGCCTGTAATGATCACATTAAGCTCTGGGTAATATTACTAGTAAAATTGAAGAGTCAAAACAACAATTTGGATTCTTCAAGGGAAAACTTGCCACAATCACCCCCAATTTAAAACGAAGGGGGCGGGGACTAAATATCTAGATCAGCCTGTCAGCTTCTGTCACTCAAAAGTGGTTTACTGAGCTCCTGTTCTAAGCCCAGCACTTAAGATTACATCAGTAAAAGAACAGACGTGGAACCCCATACTCCTGGAACTTAGCGCCTCATGTGTCAGGCAATGTTTTTCAAATAGTCTTGAGATAGGGCAACCATGAAATTGTTTTGTCTTTATATTGTATTTTGGTTATGGAATGTAAAGATGTAGAAAAAAATTTTCAGGGGAAAAATAAACATCTGAAAAATGTTTGCTTCAGTTAGGAAAAAAAGATCTCAATTGA